GGGACTGGAGGCTAAAACATATAAGGAAAGGTTGCTAGAATTGGGTATGTCTAGTTTAACGAAGAGAAGGACAAGGGGGCACATGATAGCAGTATTCCAATATCTCAGGGGCTGCCATAAAGAAGAGGGAATTAAGCTATTTTCCAAAGCACCTGAAGGCAGGACAAGAAGCAACGGGTGGAAAATAATCAAGGAGAGAAGCAACCTAGAACTAAGGAGAAACTTCCTGACAGTGAGAACAATTAATCAGTGGAACAGCTTGCCTCCAGAAGCAGTAAATGCTCCAACACTGGAAGTTTTTAAGAAGAGACTGGACAGCAATTTGTCCGAAATGGTGTAGGGTTTCCTGCCCGAGCAGGGGGTTGGACTAGATGACCTCCAAGGTCCCTTCCAACTTTACTATTATTATTATTATTATAATTAACTGCGCTGGGATTTCAGAATTGAAAAGAAGCCAATTGTCACTTCTCCCACAATAGGAAACCAAAAGCGGTGAGACTAGGAGGTGATGGAAGCTACAGTCTCCCATCTTAGGGGAAAAAAAAAAAAAACCAAAAGGGAAACAACCAGCCTGGTCCATTCATTGGCCAAAGAAGACCGACATGCCACAAAGAGGAGGGGTCAATTTATTTTCCAAAGCACCAAAAAGCAAGACGAGAAACAACGGTTGGAAACTGACCAAAGAGAGAAGCAACCTGGAATTAAGGAGAAACTTCCTAACAGTAAGGACAATTAACCCGTGGAACAGCTTGCCACCAGAAATTGTGGGTGCTCCATCACTGGAGGTTTTTAAGAAAAAGCTGGACAGCCACTTCTGAAATGATAAAGAGTCTCCTGCTTGAGCAGAGGGCTGGACTAGAAGACCTCCGACGTACCTCCCAGCTCTATTCTGATTGATTAAAGTGCATTAAATAACTGTGCAAGCTATGCAAAACGATCCTTAGGTGAAGCAAAAAATTATTTGGAAATGCAGTCAGCAAGTTAAAACAACGGAAACTCTTGGTGGCTTTGCTGCATTATCACTAATAATTTAGCCTTAAATAAATCAAGACATAATACAACAATCAATACACAGTATATTTCACAAAGCCACCACAGGTCTATCGTAAAGCACTCCTTCAATTACATTTTTTTTTAAAAAAAAAAATCCGTTGCCATTTTTGCTTTCAGTAATGGAAGCATAACATAACAGTACGTAAATGCACACCCACCAAGCAAATATCCTACAGTAAATATCTGCTCGGCCACCACAGAGAAGCTGGCACTTTAATGAAGATTGACTCTGAAAGGCAGTTTGAAAAATAACTTTTCTTTGGTGTTATGGTCTATCAGGGGCTTTCGCTTCAACGGATCAGGAAAGATCAACCTGTTTCCCATTAAAAATAAAATTAAGGGCAACATCAAACAGAAAAGAAACTTCCAGTCTATCATTTGGGTTGCTGTTGTTCCGTCGGTCACTAAGTTGTGTCTGACTCTTCGTGACTCCCAAGGACCACAGCAGGCCAGCCCACCCCCTCCTCTTTGATGTGCAACTGTGGCAAAGAGAGGTCATAAAATGGGGTAAATCTCTCTTGAGAACTGTCTTGCTTAGCGACGGAAATTTGGGGCTGCATTGTGGTTGTTAAGTCGGAACCACCTGCAATATTATGGAATTTTTTTCAAGCTGGCCAGGGAATTCTGGACGTTGACGTCCACCCCTCTTACAAGTTGCTGAGACTGAGAAACGATAGTTGTTCACGTTCACAACGGTAAAAAAAATCCACTTTCTTCCCTTTTGTGAAAGGAACGGTTGGGTCTCCAGCACCAGCTGAATCCCACGACACTGCAGCCGTCGTAAGCGTGAGTCGGTTGTCCAGCATCCAAATATAAATCTCACGACCGTGGGGACGGTTGCAATGGTCACAAGTGTGAAAATATGTTCATAAGTTGAGGACAAGTTGCCGAGTGCCTTCAAAAACCTGCCTTTGAGCCCCTTTGCAATCGGCCGACGGGATCCTTTCAAGTCCAGCCATGGAGAAAAACTGACCCCTGTCGGTAACTTTCAGATTATCCCAAACGCATTCCTGGTTTTTCCTCCCCCCCCCCTTTGAAAGACAGCTGCTTCCAGTTTTACAGCAGCGCACGGAAATGTTGCAACCCAGAGACTATGTCAATTCAAGGCATGTCTTCTCGCGCTTCCCCCCCCCCACCCGCCCCACCTTCCACCCCACCACATTAAATTCTGAGCATACTTAGCTGCAGCTTTCCTTTTAAGGTCAAAACCTTCCCGCAGGAGCTTCGGATCCCAGCATCTTTTAGCAGTGGGAGCGTCTCGGTAAACAAACATACATCAAGGCCAGCCAAGCTGGTCTTTTTCAAGAAGGTTAGGAGGAGTGACGGCCGAACATCTGGGGCAAAAGGCAGATTTCCCCCCCCACACACACACACACACACTGCTTCTTTGAAGGAAGTTGGCATTACGGGCCTGGGCAACGTGGGGATCGTGGGCCACTGAACGGGGCAACTTAACTTTCTTCCTACAGAAGTCGAAAGGAGCGTGTGAAAAAGCCGACGGCCCTGTTTCTTGTTTATAAATGGATAGCCTACTTTCCCACTCGGCCTGCGAGCCTCTCCTAGCAGAAATAAAAAAGTAATTTCAGGCAGATTTTTGATACCCGTGATGTAGCTATGATTGCTCTTCTAGAGCAGTGCTATTATCTCAGCCTTGGCGAGTTGAAGGTGAGTGGACTTCAACTCCCAGAATTCTCAGCAATGTGGACGAGAAACAATGGTTGGAAACTGATCAAGGAGAGAAGCAACCTGGAATTAAGGAGAAACTTCCTGACAGTGAGGACAATTAACCAGTGGAACAGCTTGCCACCAGAAATCGTGGGTGCTCCATCACTGAGGGTTTTTAAGACGAGACCGGACAGTCATTTATCTGAAATGGTATAGGTTCTCCTGCTTGAGCAGGAGGGTGGACTAGAAGACCTCCAAGGTCCCTTCCAGCTCTATTCTATTCTATTCTATTCTATTCTATTCTATTCTATTCTATTCTATTCTGTTTTATTCTATTCTATTCTACTCTACTCTACTCTACTCTACTCTACTCTACTCTACTCACCAAGACTGGGAAACACTGTTCTAGGGTAAAACCTGGAGGCACACTTTATCTTAGTTTATACCTTCCATAGGCAACAATTCCAAAAGAGTGATGACTGAGTAGGTGGAAGAAGGACAGATCATCCGAAGTGTCTTCAAAGCACTTATTTTGCTTCCATGTCTCGAAAATAACTTCAGTGAATATTTTTCTCGGGGAAAAAAAAATAAAACTGGGAAATTGGTGCAGACGCCGAGCACCAATTTCTGGGCATATGCTCAAAGAATATTTCGTTCTTTTGATATTTACCTCCTTAGAACCACCATTTTGGATACAGCAGACCTCAACGTTCTCATAAAAAATAAAGACCAAATTCCATCTTAGAAGCCTGTGAGATCACACCGTTTAGAAATGTGATGTCCATTTATTTCAGAAATAAATAATAATAATTAAAAAAGAAACATCAACACACAGTCCTCCTGTTTTCTGGGTTAACGCTGTACAGGTAATCCTCAACTTACGACCATAATTGAACCCTAACGTTCCATAGCTAAGCAAGGCAGTTCTTAAGTGAGTCACACCCCATTTTATGACTTTTTTTGTCATCGTTGTGAAGTGAATCGCTCATTTGTTAAGTAAATCTGGCTTCCCTTATTGCCTTTGTTTGCCGGAAGCTCCCTAGGAAGGGTGCAAATGACAGTTCCCCAGGACCTCAAGACACTGCGTCCATGGTAAACACAGGCCGGTTGCCAAACGCCCAAATTTTGATCACGTCACCGTGATTATCTGAGGGGCTGCCACAAAGAAGAGGGGGTCATGTTATTCTCCAAAGCACCAGAGGGAAGGACGAGAAACAATGGATGGAAACTGACCAAAGAGAGAAACAACCTGGAATTAAGGAGAAACTTCCTGACAGTGAGGACAATCAACCAGTGGAACAGCTTGCCACCAGAAATCATGGGCACTCCAAGAAGAGACTAGAGTCTAGACAATCACCTGTCTGAGATGGTATAGGTTCTCTTGCTTGAGCAGAGGGCTGGACTAGACGACCTCCAAGGTCCCTTCCAGCTCTGTTCTATTCTATTCTATTCTATTCCATTCCATTCCATATTTTCTATTCTATTCCATATTTTCTATTCTATTCTATTTTCTATCCTGTAATTCAATTCAATTCAATTCTATTCTATTCTATTCTATTCCATTCCATTCCATTCCATTCCATATATTCTATTCTATTCTATTCTATTCTATTCTATTCTATTCTATTCTATTCTATTCTATTCTATTCTATTCTATTCTACTCTACTCTATTCTATTCTATTCTATTCTTTCTGTTTCCATTCTATTCTATTCTATTCAATATTCTATTTTATTCTATTCTATTCTATTCTATTCTATTCTATTCTATTCTATTCTATTCTATTCAATATTCTATATTCTGTTCTATTCTATTCTCCCAAGGTCACCCATCTGGCTTTCATGGCTAAGGTGCGACTAGAACTCACCATCTCGTGGCTTCCAGCCTGGTGCCTTAACCACTAGACCAGCGTTTCTCAACGTTTGTGTGACGGTGACCCCCGTCACACAAACGTGTCGCGCATGCGCGACGCGGCGCGCATGCATGGCGGCACCTCCATGTGCGCCCCATGCGCGGCGGCGCCCCCATGCGTGGCACACATGCGCGGCGGCGCCCCCTGAGGGGGGGAAATGGCGGATCGCATTGTTTGGCAACCCCCGTAAAATGGTCGATCGACCCCAAATGGGGTCGCGACCCATAGGTTGAGAACCGCTGCACTAGACCAAACTGACTCTCTAATATGGCTGATCCCCATCCTAAACCGATGCTTGAACTGATCCCTTCTGGAGGCAAAGCAAATATTATTAATGTGGAAGTCGGTGAGAAATCGTTTCGAACACTTACTTGTGACAAAGAATTTTTTAGTGAAAGTGCAGCTGTCAAAGGCAGCAATCTTCTCTTGCAAGACGACGACAAGAATCCTGAAAAGACACACAAACCGTACATATGTACAAAATAAAGAATACCTGAAGTGCAAAATCCTTTTTTTTAAAAAAAAAAGTGCTTCCCCTTTCTCCCCTCTTTTTGTAATGGTTTCGCCCAAGAGATCCATGCAAGTCAATCATTTAGGTTAAACTTGACAGTAGTTGTTTTGTTGCTTTTTTTTTTTTTAGAGGAAGCGGGTGACTGCGGTCATTAATCAGAATTTCAGTTTGCACGAAGAAAAAGAAACTAGTATTTACCAAGCAGCTGATAATTTGCTTTAATTTAATTCTGTGGAAGTTTTACTGTATTTATATGGAATGTGTAGCTTTATACAAAAATATAAAAAGGAGCAGTTGATCTGTGTTGTAACTTTAAATGAGTATTTATAAGGCACAGAAATTAAAGGATGAGACAGAAATGTTTGTCAATTAAATTAAAAAAATAAGAAAACCAACCAAAATATCTCTCTAGCTTTCTCTTTCTCTTTCTTTCTTTCTTTCTTTCTTTCTCCTTTCCTTCTATCTCCCTTTTTTTCTTCTCTCTATTCTCTCTTCTTCCTTCCTTCCTTCCTTCCTTCCTTCCTTCCTTCCTTCCTTCCCTTCTTTCTCTTTTTTCCTTTTTTTCTTTTTTCCCTTTCTTTCTTTCTTTCTTTCTTTCTTTCTTTCCCTTCCTTCCCTCCTTCCTTCCTTCCTTCCCTCCTTCCTTCCTCTTTTCCTACTCAGTGGTCTTGAACAACAAGGGTCAGCAAAGTTGCATTTTGTAGCTAACAGCAGATTCGACAGAATGAAACTTTCAGAGGTATAACATGACAGCTTTGTGATGTTCAAGGGAAACAATTAGGGCACCCATGATCCTATTGCCAACAATAAATTGCTGGAGAGAATGAAGGGGGGGGGGAGGAACCGAGACCGTACCTTGTTAACAAAACGGGCATTATACCTCATGTAATTTTTTTAAAACACTCATTTGCCCCAGCAGTTCAGATTGAAAATCCATCAAAAGCACCCAGTATATTAATCTGAAAAGTGTTTCATGCTCAAAAAATAATCATATTGCTGGGTTTTTTTTTATTATTATTGCAAATCTGCTGGGCCTAATAGCCAGGCCTTATTTGCTAAAAGTGTTTTTCCTTGCTTTGACCTCCGCTGCCTTCCGTACAATGGAATTAAGAGGAGGAGAGGAGGGGGGGGAAAAATCACTTTATGTAATTACCAGGACACGAAATACAAAGACAAAATGTACCAAACAAAATCTCAAGAAGGGGGGGGAGGGCAGGGGAACGATGGGGAGCTGGGTTCGAGGGGGTTCTCTGAACAAGAGACCCTCCTTTTCACCCCTCAGAATACACATCTCATTTAGGTCCACAAACTTTCAATCCATCTCCCTTTTGCTCTGCACAGAATTTCCCAGGGGGGGGGGATTATATATTTCTCTTTGTCTGTCCCAGGAACAGAGGAAACATCTTTATAACAGGCTACTCACTCTTTTAAGCTATCTTTCTTAACTCTCACGCAAAAGGAAACTCTTCCCATCGTTTCCAGAAGGGCAAGGAGATATTTTGCAAAGAGAAGTGTGTAAAAATGCGCCTGGGAGCTGTAGCATGTTAGGCCTCTCCTCAAATGTGCCCCTCATTACAAACTTAGCTGTCACTTTATGCCAGGGGTCTCCAAAGTTGGCAACTTTGGTTACCGGCATCAAATTCCTGGGTATGCAGCTAACGAGTAGGCTGACTTGGTCGCTCAACAGCGAGACACCGGTGAAGCGGGCACAGCAGCGCCTGCATTTTCTGCATCGCATGAGAAAAGCACATCTTCCTTCTCCTGTCCTGACCACTTTCTACAGGGGGACGATCGAGAGCATCCTGTCATACGGCATCACAGTCTGGTTTGGAGGCATCCCTGCTTCAGACAGGAAGGCGGTGCAGAGAGTGGTGAGGAGGGCAGAAAAGATCATTGGCAGTTCCCTCCCTTCCATCTAGGACAGTGGTTCTCAACCTGTGGGTCGGGACCCCATTTGGGGTCGAACGACCATTTCACGGGGGTCGTCAAACCACGCTGTCCGCCATTTTTTTCCCTTTTCCCCAGCTGTCCTACTCCCTCTTATTGGTGGCCACACCCACTTGGGGGTCACCACAACATGGGGAACTGTATTATGGGGTCACGGCATTAGAAAGGTTGAGAACCACTGATCTAGGACATAGCACAGAAGCGCTGCTTGAGCAGGGTCCGTAAGATTGTCTGGGACGCTACACACCCTCTTCACGACCTGTTTTCCTTGTTCCCTTCTGGGAGGGGGGGAGGCTCCGTGGTATCCGAAGCAGAACATCCAGATTCAGCCATAGTTTCATTCCATACAGCATTAACCTTGTGAACTCTCAAGCTTCCTCCTTCCGTTATATATTCAAGATGGACAGCATTTAATATTTATTTGTTATGTATATGTAGGGGTGGGGGTCTATACATATGTTGTATATAGTATGTTTTAGGTGTGTGTGTCATGTATGTGTTTCACTTTGAGAGCGGGCAACTAAATTTCATTTTTGATGTGTGCTATTATGCCCACAGTAAAAAAATGACAATAAAGGTTATCTTATCTTATCTTATCTTATCTTATCTTATCTTACCTTACCTTACCTTATCTTACCATCTTATCATCTCATCATCTCATCTCATCTTATCTTTAACATTTGTGGACTTCAACTCCCAGAATTCCCCAGCCAGCATACCGAGATGAGAGGGGTATTTTTTTCTACCTTTCTATTTAAATACATTTATGCATAAAAGAAGCCAATCTGGGCCTTTTCTTTCATCAGTACCAAATCTTCCAGCCCCATTTTTTGAACAGGAAGTTGAAATAACATGAAGTGACTGTAATCAAGGGGGAGAGCTTTAAAAACACTGGACGGGAAAGGTATTTGGAGATCAAAAGGAATTACCTTCCGTTGCAGTGGAGATCATAAATCGGTGTTTTGAACTGGACGGATTTGACCACCTCCCCTGTTCTCAAAGAATGGAGATCTACGCAGCAGTAAGGAGGGCTGGTCCTGAAAGAGAAATTAAGAAAATATAAAATCCAAAAGTCCACATTTTGGGTAGTAGACAGGGTCTCTGGTTTGAAAGAGTGGTACAAGAATATCTGTTTGAATCGAACATCAGAAACAGCAAGTGTGAGAGGGACCTTGGAGTCCTAGTGGACGATCACTTGACCATGAGCCACAGTGTGCAGCAGCAGACAAAAAAGCTAATGCAATCCTGGGTTGTATAAACAGAGGCATAAAATCAAGATCACGCAAAGTATTAGTACCGCTTTACAAAGCCCTAATAAGACCACACCTGGACTACTGCAGCCAATTTTGGTCACCATACTGCAAAAAAGATGTTGAGACCTTGGAAAAAGTTCAGAGAAGAGCAACTAAGATGATCCAAGGCCTGGAGATTAAAACATACAAAGAACGGCTGCGGGACTTGGGCTTGGCCAGTCTAAAGAAAAGAAGAAACAGGGGGAACATGATAGCAGTATTCCGGTATCTGAGGGGCTGCCACAAAGAAGCGGGGGTCACATTATTCTTCAAATCACCAGAGGGCAGGACAAGAAACAATGGTTGGAAACTGATTAAAGAGAGAAGCAACCTGGAATTAAGGAGAAACTTCCTGACAGTGAGGACAATTAACCCGTGGAACAGCTTGCCACCAGAAATCATGGGCGCTCCATCACTGGAGGTCTTTAAGAAGGGACTGGATAGCCACCTGTCTGAAATGGTATAGGTTCTCCTGCTCGAGCGGGGGGCTGGAGTAGAAGACCTCCAAGGTCCCTTCCAGCTCTATTCTATTCTATTCTATTCTATTCTATTCTATTCTATTCTATTCTATTCTATTCTATTCTCAATAAAGATTCTATTCTATTCTGTTCTGTTCTGTTCTTTCAACAGAGGGGGGAGGAAAAAGACACCACCTATCTCCAGTTTGCAACGCAGTTCCAAGAAGATCCCACCACCAATTGCACCCTGATTCAGGTGACCCTGAGGGCACAGATAAACCCCCAAGTGGCCTCAATGATCCTCAGGGAGAGTGCTAACGAGCAGATGACTGTAAAGAAATACAGGTGGTCCTCGACTTACGACCAGAATTGAGCCCAACATTTCTGTTGTTAAGTGAGACGTGTTGTTAAGTGAGTTTTGCCCACAGATCTCATGGCTCAAGAGACGGATAACACAGCTGCTGGTGTGTCACACACACACACCCCAGTGCAAAGAACCCAGGTTCACTTTAACAGACTCTTGACTGATTTTAACATCAAGGTATAGCATGCACTACTTTTACCACTTTAATACAAATAAGGTGGCCTGGCAATTCCTTTGTAAAAAGCCAGATTTCTTTCAACGGGAAGAGTGCCGAAGGGGGAAAAACAAGATTGCGATGAGTGCAGTTTGGCAAGCCAGAAAAAAAAAAAAAAGTTTTCATCTGGCAGTTCGCAGGGCACCTATTCCCTCCTCCCCTCCCTTCGGAAAGGTGGGCCGTTTCTAGGCTCCACACGCCCAACATTGCACAGAATGACCAGCTGTGTAAATACATCCCAAGAAATATCAAAAAGAAGAGATTCACTAGAGCCAGCTGCACACAAATAGGAGATTATGGCATAAAACCTGTCCTTTCTCGAGCTTTCTAAAAATACGCCAGAAGAGATAATTGCATATACAGTACTTTTATCTATAGATGAGGAAAATTCTCAGCACGAGGTATTAAAAAAAAAAAAAACCTGGAGCAAAAAAGCCAACACAGTGCTGGGCTGCATTAATAGAGGGATAGAATCAAGATCACGGGAAAGGTTAATACCACTTTACAAGGCCTTGGTAAGGCCACACTTGGAATACTGCATCCAGTTTTGGTCACCACGATGTAAAAAAGATGTTGAGACTCTAGAAAGAGTACAGAGAAGAGCAACAGAGATGATCAGGGGACTGGAGGCTAAACCATATAAGGAACGGTGGCTGGAACTGGGTATGTCTAGTTTAACGAAGAGAAGGACGAGGGGGGACATGATAGCTGTGTTCCAATATCTCAGGGGCTGCCACAAAGAAGAGGGAGTCAAGCTATTCTCCAAAGCACCTGAAGGCAGGACAAGAAGCAATGGGTGGAAACTAATCCAGGAGAGAAGCAACCTAGAACTAAGGAGAAACTTCCTGACAGTGAGAACAATTAACCAGTGGAACAACCTGCCTCCAGAAGCTGTGGATGCTCCAACACTGGAAGTTTTTAAGAAGAAACTGGACAGCCATTTGTCTGAAATGGTATAGGGTTTCCTGCCTGAGCAGGGGGTTGGACTCGATGACCTCCAAGGTCCCTTCCAACTTTATTATTATTATTATTATTATTGTATGAAATTAAGGGGTTCTTTTTTTTTAAATTATGAAGACTTCATCCTGTGCCATCTCAAAAAAAAAATCACAGGCAGTCCTTGACATACAACCGTTCGTTTAGCGACTGCTCAAAGTTACACTGGCAGAGAAAAAAGTGAGTTATGGCCATTTTTCACAATTCCAACCGTTACAGCATCCTCGTGGTCACGTGATCAAAATTCAGATTTTGGGGCAATTGACTCAGAGTTATGATCATTACTGTGTCACAAGGTCACCTTTTGCGACCTTCTGACAAGCACCATCAATGGGGGAAGCCGGATTCGCTTAACAACCGCGTTACTAATTTATCAACCATGGTGATTCGCTTAACAACTGTGTCGAGAAAAGTCGCAAAATGGGGCAAATCTCACTAAACAACTGTCTCGCTTAAGAACAGAAGTCTTAGGCTGAACTGTGGTCCTAAGTCGAGGACTACCTGTATTCCAGCTGAGCAAGAGGCAGCAAAAGACGGGAGCAAGGCCACTACACCCTTGGTCTCCGGTGGTACTGACTTTGCCCATGTTATGGGGGATTTTTAATGTTTTCACAAATCCAGTGACAGCTTTCCCTGCTGTGAACATTATGTACCAATAAAGGAGAATATTTGCAGCTCAGGGTTGACGTGAGGGGTCTTTGCTCTCTGAGATGGCTTTTTTTCTTGCAGACGTTTCATGACCCAGCTAGGTAGCATAATCAGTGCTAGAAGAGAGTGGGGTTTGTGGAGAGGAGGAGGAGGAGGAGGAGGACGACAATGACAATGACAACGACAACAACTGTGGGCTCCTTAGTGCTCTCTGAGATGGCTTGTTTTCTTGTGGACATTTCATGACCCAACTAGGTAACATCATCAGTTCTAAAAAGGAGGGAGTTGAGGAGTAGGAGGAGGAGGAGGAGGAGAACGACTGTGGGCTCCTTGGTGCTCTTTGAGCTGGCTTGTTTTCTTGCAGATGTTTCATGACCCAAACTAGGTAACGTCAATCAGTGATGTTACCTAGTTACCTACGAGCACTGATGACGTTACCTAGTTTGGGTCATGAAACGTCTGCAAGAAAACAAGGAAGCTGTCAGCGTTAACGTTTCAAACATTAGCTTTGGCAGGCTGCTCTCCTTTCATTCTGTACCTGACTCTGACGCCTGGCAGAAAAATTTGAATAAAAAGACTGCTGGTTTCGAAGAGGTCATTAGCCACCAGAAGCTCTTTTTTATTGCTTTGACTGGGTTTTTTTTTTTTTTTAGCCTTCGGTCTTGTTTTGATTCTCATGGCGAAATCTGTACAGTTGGACGCTTTAGTTGTTTTTCCAAAGGTCTTTTTGATTAGAGCAGGAATGACATGTGCTTGATAAATGAATGAATAGTTTTTCTGTTGTGGGTGCTAACGTTGTTCTGTTGTGCTCTAAATGGGGGGGGGGCGGGGGAGAAACAGCTCCCTGCCTTTCTTGATGGCTGGGAAAAAAGAGAAAAACGGCTGCATTTGTCTGATCCAGTCATTTCGAATCACGTGCTGTGGGCGGGGTGTATGTGTGTGTGTGTGTGTGTGTTTGTGCCTCAGTTGCCTAGAGGAGTGGAGGATGAGATCAGTAGTACCACTCTGACAGAGCTTATAGGCCTGGAGTGTCAAGCTCAATTTCATTGAGGGCCGCATCAGCATTGCAGTTGCCCTGGGGGGGGGTGTGTGGCCTACTGGGTGGGCGCAGCCTACTGGGTGGGCGTGGATGGAGTGGGTGTGGCCTAGTGGGTGGGCATGGCCAACTCTACATCGTTCGCGTCAAGGGTGCCTGTGGGGGCCTGGGCAGGAGTGGGACAGATCTGAGGGTCTCTGGTAGAACGGGGTGGGACCGGGCAAGTGCCAAGGGATGGTCCATTTCTTCATTCCTCACAAAGGGCGACCCCTCCCCAGCATGCACCCAGGGGGCGGGGCCAACATGGCAGGGGCTGGTTCCTCGCTGTTTCTGGACGGCCTTGTGGAGCTAAGACTGAATGCGTTTCAGCATAGATGGCCACCACAAAATTGTACATTGGCTCCCGGCCGACCTGGGCCAGGGCCAAGGCAGTGGGGGGCATTCCCTCACTGTTTCCAGGATGGCTTTGCGGGCCACATGAAACCACTTCGCGGGCCGCATCCGGGCCCCAGGCCTTGTGTTTGACATGTCTGTCATAGGCAGTCCTTCCTCCTGGTATCTGTGGGTGAATAATTCCATTCACAAACTTATTTCCTGGCTCATCTTGATGTGAAACCAAATGTAAAACATTGCTGCTTGGCTATTGCATTTTCCTTCCCCCCCCTCCATTTTAATGAGATTTTTCTACCTCCCCCCCCCAAGACTGCAGAGCAGAACTATCCATCAAATTTGACAACTGTGTCATCCACACCTCTTGTCCTCCCGGCCTTTCCCCATCGGCCACTTTTCCTAACACTTTGACGGTAATTGAAATGGCAGATGTTGCCAGAGCACTCTGCCGTGCCTATTTATTTCTTCACGTAAAATTTAAGGTGCTCTCTTCTGGGAAATCGATATATTTTTTTTTTAAAGTCCAGGATCATCTGGAAAAAAAAAATCGAACAACCGAGTTCAAGTTCAAAGCCAGACTTTTCAATCCAACAGCATCCGTCTTCCGGATACCGGGATGAACGGCCAAAAAAAGGGAGA